CACACACACACACACACACACACACACACACTTCAAACTGTGAAAGGCGCTTATAAATACATAAATAAAACTTTACTTCTATTTAAAATGACGATATTGTTGTTAAAAGTATTTATTTGCTAGTTGCTAGCTAAGAAAGCTACTGACCGCTGACTCGAACGGTTAATAGTTTGTGGCATTACGAATACTGGCCTTTGCTCGCTAAATCAATTCAATAACACTGGTTAATTAAGGMTAAATCAATCCAAGTGCACTGAAAACATTTACCTCTCTCCTTTTCTCTCCTCTTCAATCTGAGCTCCTCCAAGTTGTTGTCGATTTGTCGACCAGCTTTATGACGAACTGTCCTTAATCTCCACATTTATACAACAGTAACATGCAGTTAAAAGATATTAYTGAAGTTATATGCTATAACATCGTGGGCAACGTAATATGCAGGCAGAACGTTCAAACCTCTTCTTTGATGCTTTATTTTCTCCCTTTTCGGCTTCTGTATCGCCGCCTGGCGGACATGGGACACAACCACAGTATAAGTGGGCGGGGCTTAAACCTACAGCCTGCCTACACGCTTATTCCATACGTTTAAATGAGTTTATCTATTTTTTTTATGACTTCTGATTATCATAAATATAAATTAGGTARTTTGAAGTCAAAGACAGCACATACAGTTGTACCTTTGATATTCAAAGTAAACACTGCAGGAGAATACATAAATATTATCTAATAAATACAGCTCTAATCCATTTAGATTTCAACATTTCCATTTAGAAAGTTCAAAATTAAAATGGAATGGATATTTGAAATGTTATTTTCTGTCTCCACAGACACGAGTTTTATATATTCACACTGTAAATAAAGAGAAGTGACAATTTATAATGAATATGCCTCAGCTTGATGTATTTATCTCTTCTTCAACACTAGAGGACTTGTTACACAATCACAATAAAAAACAAAGTTTAATTTGTAATAAAAAAACAGTTATGTACAATGTATATAGGAAAATCTGCAGTTATCAATTTTTTAAATCTTGTTTGCAAAACACCCAAATGCCAAAACAATTAAAACAACAACTCTGTTACTTTTCCTAAGTATGCTTCATTACAGAGTATGCAAATTTTTTTTCACTCAYATAACCTTGGTGTTTGGCACCAGTTTCCCACTTGGTGCCAAGTGGGAAACTGACAAGATAGTAGTAAATATAAAAAAATCAAAGAGAGACAAAAACACATTTCTCTTGATTATTGTACTGAGGTCAACATTAAAAAATGTAATGTAAAATTAAAATTTTACGCCTCGGGTGAAATTCCTGAGACATACATGATTACAAGGGGCATTTACTTGTAAAGTGAAATAAGATGAAAATGCAGTACCGTAACAAAAATATAATTTGTTTACAATTTGTTTTGCATGTGGCTTCATCTTCAGATTCTGCAGAGATGAAGTCAGTTTTCCTCAGGACTGTGGTGTGGATTTCTTTTTCTGCAACAGATTATAGGAAAAAATATGTTACTAAACACCAGCATTAAAAAAGAAAACCTTCTTAATGATCTGCTGCTAAATGTTGAAGGTGGACAATAAAATTTCTTTTGCCTGTGTCTTGTGTGTGCATGCAAACGTGTGGTAATGTACCTATCTGTTAGCAAAATATCCCACGAACCACTGGGCAAATTTGAATAAAATTTGCAGAATCATTGATGTAGTTTAAAACTTTGGCRTAAATCCCTTTAAAGTGATCTACGATTAGTTGTAACATTAGACTTTATTTGATAAACATTTATTTTAACTGTAAAAATACTGTAGGCTGTTTAGTTTTTATATTTTTTAAACTAAAAGCTTTAAAATATATTACAGACTGAGCCATTTTATTTACACACAAAGCATTCTGGGTAAATTATGTCAACTAGGTCCTCGGTGTGAGCGAGCTATATCCACTCTCAAGTTTAATCCTGGATGATATCTGATGATTGTCTCTGTTAAATGAAACCAGAGAGCGTTGACAGAGAGGAGAAGGTAGAAATGACTCAGCCTGTAACTGAAAATATAGATGGAGGACAACAGAGCTGCTTCATGGAAGAAGAACCCCAGCTCTGAACTGATTGGTTCTACAGGCCCAATAAGCACGGTTCTGGAGCAGGTCTCCCCCTTCCTCCCTCCCCTACTGAGTCAGACCTGAGTTCTACTTCACCCAACAGCACAATTTCAAAAAATGGTTTAAAGTTAGAAGTTTTTGACTCGAGTTGAAACAGAGCCTCAGAGAAGGCCAATCTGACAGGTTAGAGTGATTTAAATGGACCAAGTGATGCCCGGGCAGACGATATCTGTCAAATGATTGAAACATTTTTTAATCTAATGAACCATTATTCGACACATCCCTAGTTAATATTGTTAAATTCCAACAACTAAAAATCGACAATTATAACAGACAGGCTGCGCACAGCGGCAGAAAATCAACTTTTTACACAACACCTGACTCAGTTTCTAAATTCTATCAATAAACACACACCTGTTGGTCGGATGTTGTTTCCCGGGTCACTGTGATAAAGTCCATGCCTGCCTCTCTGCCCCGGCTCCACCTGCCCGCTACTGTTCAGCTAACGTTAGCATCCATGTGTGAGGTACGTCTCTCTCAGGTGGAGGAATCAATGAACATCCTTCTGCTGTTTTTTAAGATCTGCCAGCTTCAATATTATCTCCAGTTCTTTTTTCAAACTTGTTCTAACAAAGAAACTCATTTTATTTGGAGCAACGTCTGCTGGATCTGAATCAAAGTTTTGCCTATATTCAAGTCCCGCCCCCGTCTGATTTCTGATTGGATAGTAGGCCTGTCTAGTGTTTACAGTGAAAGCGGCTCCTCTGATAAGTCCAGAGAAATGTCTGTTAAATGTTTGACCGGGCAGGTCTGAGTTGCCCCACATACCATCAGCTCTGCAAAATATAAACATATCCACGCAACACCAGGACAGATTTTCTGAACTTCTAGAGACTCCAAATACAAGTAGACATGTCTCCTTTATCCTCCCAATAAAACCCTGCAGAACCGAGGATTTCAGTTTTGTTGTACCTTTCTGTGGGAGTCAGCTGGTGTGGTTTGTGTTGTTGGAACTTTCTGAGGAGAAACTCCAGCTTCTTCTGCAACCTCCTCTGATTTTAGTTTGCTTTTCTCTGAGGGGAAGAGAAAAAAAAACAAACTTAGAATGCAAACTGTACACTGGCATCCCTACAGCGGGTTATTTACTCACTTTTCTTCTTTTTGGGTGTTGTTGTCTCCTGGTTCGATCCTTCCAGTAAATCTTTATGAACAGATAAATGTTCCACATGTTCATGTTTTGGAGCACAGTTTGTCCTCTCTGGAGTGGATTTCATGTCTTTTTCGTTTGATATCACCTCATGACTAGACTTGTGTTTTTTCTTTGATTTTTCTTTATCAGTCTGTTCTGAAATGCCTTCATCGTGGTGCTTCGGTTTTTCTTTCATTTCCTGAACTTCTTCTGGATTATTCTCAATGTCAGCTGACTCCTTTTTCTTCTTCTTTGCTTTCTTTTTCTTAACTATAAGCTCAGGACTTTCTTCATCTTCAATTATTTGCTCTATATTTTCTTCTGCTTCGGCAGTTTCCACCTGTAGATTTTCCTCACGGACCACCTTTTCTTTTTTCCTTTTCACCTTTTTTTGTTTCACCTTCTCCTCTAATCTTTCCTCACTCTCAGTTTTATTAGGATTTGTTACAGTCTGGTCTGTGTTTATCTCCTCAGCTGAATTTAGTCCTGAAATCTTTTCACCTTCGACTGCTTTTGTCTTTTTCTTTACTTCTGTTTTTTCGGCTGTTTCAGCTGAACTGTCCTCACTTCTGGTTTTCTCTTTCTTCTTCTTTTTTGCCTTCTTTTCTTGTACTGCCGGCTCAGTGCAACAATTTCCATTTTGTTCCACCTCGTTTTTCTCAGTTTTTGCACTTTTTCTTTTCTTTTCTTTAACAACTTTTTCAACCGTCTGCTCTGCGTCCCTTGCTGTGTCGTCCTCGTGTGATCCACTTTCTTTCTTTTTCTTCTTCTTCTTGGGTTCAGGTGCTGGCTCACCAGTAGTTTTTTCTTCATGGGGAGTTAAAAGGCTCATGTACATTTTAAACAGAGTCTGTTTTTCAGGTGACACTGTGGACGCAGCTGGTTTTTCCTTTGATGCGATGTTTRTCATCCGGGACTCGGAGGACGAGACGTGTGCTGTGTCTTCTGCTCCGCTCTTTTTGAGTTTGCTCTTCGATGACATCGTTATCTGTTCCACAGCTTCCTCCTCAACGTTTGAGTTCTTTTCAGCCACTCCGTTATCGTTGTGAGCATTTGCGGCAGCCTTGGGAGGAGGTTTGGCACGTGGCTTCCTGACTCTCTTTTTCTTGGGCTCGGGTGGAGACGGGTCCAGGGCGTTGATGATTTCCATCTTGGCTAAGTCTGTCTCTGCAGAGAGAACAAAGAAAGTTGGGGCAGGTGGGCGACTACCCTCAAAGAGGTGATCTCTGGGAGGTAAAGAAATATGTTTTCCTATGATTTTCTAGGCGTCTGTCCTGTCTGCTGTTATTTTTCCCCACTCCTGTCACTCATCTACACTTCACCGAGTCACTTTATTATTCTACTCGGAGGCAAAGAAAACAAACTCCCTGCACGCAGACTGACAGGAAGCCCTTTGACGACTCTCCCCATCACCTCATCCTTTTCAAAACTGCATCCAGAAAAGATGCCCTCAACGAACACACTCCTACCGCTCATCTGGAAAAACAGTTTCTTCCACTTCTCCACATCCAGACTGCTGTCAGAGTCCGAATCCCCCCCACCAGCCGCCGCTGCATCGTCCGTAGCGTCCAGCTTTAGTTTCTTTGCTTTGACGACACTTTTTGCAGATTTTCCTTCACCTTTTTTTCTTTTTTGTGAACCAGACTAAAAAAAAAAAAAAAGAAAACAAGTAATCACATTTAGTGAAGTTTAAGAAGCGCCACAGTAAGAAATGAAAAGGAAAGAGCGGGACTGGGATCACCTTTTCTGACAAAGCTGGACTGTTAACAGGTTTATCAGCCTTCTTCCTCGGAGTGGTGACTTTACCTAGACAAGCAGGACAACATATATTAAAAACCACTCCATAAAGATCACTTCTGTTAATCCAAACCAGAAGAACTGACATGGGAAGATGTAATTACTGTGAAATAAGGCATCGCAGACACATCTGATACTTTTCACTACCATTAGCCGAGGCTTTTAGGTTATTTTCTGCACATCAGTTGTGAACATTAGGTATTTTTATGCATTAAATATGTATGTACAGGGCTCCAAATACAGATCTAGTCCAGCGGCTCATGTTCTTCCTGCCTTACTTATAGTAGATCCTTCTCAATTTTTTATTTGCAATGTCCTCCAGCGGCACTAAAGCCGCCATTGTTCCACAATCTAACGCAGCGATTTATGGCCACGTGTCATCATCATCTACACCAGGGGTTCTCATACTTTTTTGGGTCTGGGGACCCCTTACAAATGTGAAAAATTTCCAGGGACCCCCTCATAAACCACATGCTGTTTCAGAAATAATTTAATGACATTTTAACCCCTAGATACCATGGGAATAATATTTTTTGTTTGGTTCAGTATGTTTTACTAGTGCATTGTTCCTCGTATTCATTTTTTAAAATAAAATCCAAACTAACAATTTATTGAAATTTTTTGAGGACCCCCAAGATATGGCTTGTGGACCCCAGTTTGAGAACCTCTGGTCTACACCTTGCTGATTAAGAAATTATAACACGCTACATGTTTACTTCTCAGTGAGAATAGAAGTGTACCTGAAAAACACATATTTTATGCCCCTCATTGGTCTGTGCACCAGGTATTATTTTACTAAGAGACGTACAAATACACAGACACAGGCAAATAAACAAGTTGTTGCCAAGCTTCACCCACTCCAAAAACTTCTGGTTCAGGACTGCCAGCTGATTGGACACATAAGTTTACTATTACGAAAATATTCCTCTGCTGAGTATGTGCAGGTAGTTTGGAACCATGTTTTAAACCGTGCTAAAAAGAAAAAACAAAAATAACAGAAAAATATGTTGCACCTGTAGTTGGCGTCTTTTCTTTTTTTCCTGGACTGGAACATCTGGCTGATTTCTTCGCCTTTTTCTTTTTGGAGTTTCTGCCCGGAATGAAAACAACAGTTTGTGATCATGTTACTGCACTGAAACATAACTAACCAACAGGTTAAACAGACAAACAGATCTCACTCACTTCAACCACGATTTATAGATGTCCAATAGAGACAAGGATATGTCTGCCCCCGCCTGAATAAAACAACAGAAAATGAATTACTATGTAATCCATCATTTAAAAACTGCAGTCAAGGCCAGGCTTTTCAAACAGACTAATGAGGAAATGGCACAATGCTCTGGGGTTTAGAGGCCTATGATGACTAATTAATGGATGTCCAGTTATTAGGAACCACAAATGATTTGCAAATAATCATATTGCTTTGTAAAAACCTGATGCTGTGTTGTTGTCATAAAAAATCTCTATTTTCACTTTCATATTGAGATCTATACATTAAAAGCTGCTCAGAACTTTTTCACTTACAGACTACTTTGTGTAAAGTAATCTTGACACGTTAGGTCTATAGTTTTGTAAAAGACTGTGCTGTTCAATGGTTATTAGGCTTGCTAGTATTCTTCATCTTGAATGACACTTCCTAAAAAAACAACCTTATTTTTAAGTTCTAATTCTCATAATGTTTTTTACATAGTGGGTCTATAGTTTTCCCTGTGAATCAAAATTTAAATATGACATTAGACTAGAAACCTTGTTGTGGACATTATTTTTATGCATTAAATATTATGTTAAAGGGCTCCAAATGTAGATCCAGCCCAGTGGCTCATGTTCTTCCTGTCTTACTTACAGTAGTTTTTTTCATCGTGTTGTTAGTACTTTTGATATAAACTTCATTTAATCCTCTCCTCTAACACGCAATTAACTAAATCTGAACACAAGTTGTGTTATTGCACAGATTATAATACCTGTTTGTCGTTATAACTCTAGGTGTGTGTGTGTGTGTGTGTGTGTGTGTGTGTGTGTGTGTGTGTG